AATATAAAAACCCGAAGGGATAAGCAGGTCATCTCATTTTGCGTTTATACTGAAAATCTTGACTCAAAATATCAGTTGTGGAAAGGAAGAAGGAGACCAAAAACATGAACTTTACCTTTTAGCAGTGTTCTATCATCAAAGGCATTGCCAAAACAATGCCTCACCCATAACAAGGATTTATTAAGTATTGCAATTTGAGAACTATGTGTTTAATAAGTAATGTTATCTTACATGTGTTTAGACTTTTCCATTTGCTATATTAACATAGACAAACTATATAATCTCTTGAAACATTGATATCTTTAACTATAAAATGAGTTCATTTATACTCACCAACATGAAAATACAAAGGAAATAAAGTTTGTAACCCCTTTATAAGAGTGTAGCAACATAAATTGAATTACATATGATGTTATACATATGATATGATACGTGCAATCTTAAAAATGTTTGAATCTTTCTAGAGTCAAGAAATATTCCACTAAAAGGAAAGAGATATCAAAAAATCTTAAAGATGGTAGAATTTGAACCTCAAATCTGTATGGGCTCAGTGAACAAAACGTCACTTTATTAGTTTAAAACATTTCCCATCTCACAAGGATAATTAGTGTAGACTGCTGACTAGAGACAAGAACACATGAGGATTAAGAGAGGGCTATCAGTCACTTTTCAGCAGAAAGAAAGACAGAAATCAATTTGACTTCACAGAAAAAATGCTGTCAGAAGGACAGAAAAAGCACCTGGCGTTCAAAAGACAGTACACAAAAGGAAGCTGAAGCTAAAATGGCTGAGTGAGAGAGGCAGCCATTTTACCATTCCCTGTTCACAGCAGCGGCACTTACTGTTGGCTCAGTGGCCCAGTGACAGAAGCTAAGTGTCAAGAGCATCTGAGAAATGCTCCCTGACACAGGAAATTCCAAGCCAAATGAATTACTTACAATATAAAATAGCAAACTGAAGGTGATCATTTGTATTATCAAGAAAATGGGCTTAAAGTTAAACCTAAATATCCCCCAGACCTACTCTCGATTGTTGTACCATTTCCAGTAGTTTACGTTTGACAATGAGCATATGACTAAGGAAAGAAAGATAAAATACTATGAGGGGGCTGGGCCTGGTGGCGCACACCTTTAATCCCAGTACTCAGAAGGCAGATTCAGAGTTTGAGGCCAACCTGCTCTACAGAGTGAGTAGCAAGACAGCCAGAGATCCCATTTCAAAAACAAAAACGAAAGAAGGAAGGAAGGAAGGAAGGAAGGAAGGAAGGAAGGAAGGAAGGAAGGAAGGAAGGAAGACAAACTACAAGAGCCCTAGTAGTATTGTATTTTAAAGTGTTCTTCCTGCTATGAGTAGGCTAAGGTAATGTGCTGTACAGTGATGTGTTGTACGGTTGCTGCATTTGGAGTCTTGGAAACACATCACAGCAAGCTCTCCAAAACACTAGATGCTGCCAAGTTCTGGTCTTTTTAACAACCAGAGGCCCCTGAGTAAATCATCCCATAAAACATCCATGGAGCTGGCCACTTAGTTGCAACTTAGTTTGTCCACTAAAAGAAATACCATTTCCCACTGCTCATTGCTTTGAAAGGGAAATTTACTCTCTATATAAATACTAATAGCAGGCAAAAATACCTAAATGTTTTGTTCCACATCAGCTGTCTCCTATAGATACATCTATCTCTCCTGAGTAATCAGTGGACCCTATACTGAGAACCCCAAGAACATTTTTTCTCAGACAAGACTTTCAGGCATGGCACCATACAGGAAACCATGCTATTAAATGGATATGCATCCATATTTATGGGGCAATGATTTAAGCACTACCTAAAAAAAATTTGAGAAAATATGAAAACACATGAAGATTTTAATTATAATTTACACTTCTTTTAACTACTCTAACAAATCAGAATCATAAAAGTTGCAAAATTCATCAAAAAGAATTGTATGATTGCAACAGGAGAAAAAATCAGTAAAATAAAAATGCAGTAAGGAGAAACCTGAGCCCAGTCACTTTTCCAATATCATTCTGCAGGCTCACCCTAAATCATTCATGTCCTGCATGGATGATGATGGTCACATATTATTCACTATTTTTCACCTTTACTTCTCCTTTATTGTCACTTTAACTCTAATCCATTATTATAACCGAGTCATTATTTAAGTGACTTCTTTGAGGAGTGGTTTGGAAGAAACTTTGCAGAATTCAGCCTTAAACAGAGCAAAGTATAAGGTAGAATTCTTAAGCTAATGAGTTGTCCAGCAAAGAGAAAAGCTGCCCTCCTATCCTTCCTCATTCAGCCATTTCATACTTTTTGAATATTAAAATCCTGAACATCGCTCTTAATTAAGAGAAAGTGAAAGATCTGTATTAAAAGGAGAAATAAATTTACCATAAAGATTGTTCTATTTAAGCATTCTCTATAAAGCATTGTCTTAGTTAGGGTTTCTATTGCTGAGAAGAGACACCAAGACCACAGCAAATCTTATCAAGGAAAACCTTAGTTGGGGCTGGCTTACAGTTTCAGAGGTTTAGTCCATGGCCAGAAACACAGCGGCGTATAGGCAGCCATGGCACAGAGGAAGGAGCTAAGAGTTCTACGTCTTGCTCAACAGATCCACAGGAATTAAATGTCACACTGGGCATGGATTGAGCACATACGAGACCTCAAAGCCCACCTCCACAGCGACACGCTTCTTTCAATAAGGTCACACCTACGCAAATAAAGCCATACCTCCTCATAGTGCCACTCCATATGGGACCAGCATTCGCACATGAGTTCTATCTAAGTGGGCCACACTTATTCAAACCACCACAAGCACCAATCTGAAATGCAGAGATTTCATTTAATAATATTCACTAATAATTTATTCACTAATAATAACATAGTTACACAATACATGCATTTACATGTAAGAACAGAGTATATGAGAATATATTAAATAGAGAGAGTTCATACCCATTTTATCACCTAGTCATGCCAACTTTATCTCCTATAGATCTTTGCAATCCTTTATTTCTTTGGATAAAGAAATCTTTATTTCTTTATTTCTGCTACCTGCTGCTTTATGAGGTACCTCTAAGGTCCCTGGAGGCTTTACTCACACAGTTCTGTGATAGTTTAACCACTCCACACCTGTTACAATCAGTCCTTTAACAAAACAGCTGTTCTCTCCAGATGCAAGCCCTAATATCTGATTAAGTCACCTACTTGCTTCATGCATTTTCATGGCTTAGGATGAAAAACGATGTAGAATCCAAAGACCCATATGACCCGCTTTCTACAACCTTCCCTATCTTACTCTTTATGTTAGCTTCAGCTGCACCTTCATGTAACATGAGGGGGCGGGCTTGTTGGGGTTTCTGTCCCGCTCTTATAACTTATGTTACCCCATTATCCTTATCTACATTAGCACATGACTCCATACCTTTCTCAGCTGGGCAGGGTACATGCTGTCTCTTTGGTGGTCTGCACAGGAGTCGCTGAGGAAGCTTCCTGTTTTCCCAGAATACTCCCAGGCTCTTTGCTCCACCCCTACTTCCTGTCTGGCTTTCCCACCTATACTGCCTGCCTGGCCAATCAGCATTTTATTAAAATATGATTGACAGAATACAGATAATTTTCCCGCACCACCTTCATTCCCGTTTTCACAACTGGGAACATGTTTCCTCACCTATCTGCTTGATGGCATAAGTTAAGCATTTTTGTCAAGAAAGCTCTCCCTGACATCCCAACTATTTAACATCATTTGCTGCTGCTGCTCTCTCTCTCTCTCTCTCTCTCTTTCTCTCAGTGTGTGTGTGTGTGTGTGTGTGTGTGTGTGTGTGTGTGTGTGCAGGGACTAAATTCACTGCCTCATGGGTACCAAGAACACAATCTACCATAGAACAATACCCTCATTCCCATTGTCTTTCTTCTTGACATGAGAGGACCAGCCAGAGTTTGGCTTTATTGTCCATTATACCCACAGGATTTGGATTTTAAAAAAAAAATCTGGAATACAGAAATTTCTATAAAATACCTTTTGAATGAATGAATCCATATTGCCTAATTTCATCCGCCATAAGCTTTTCAATATTTTGGGGCAGGGGATGACACTGGGAGTTGAAGCTCAGGCTTCACATATGGCAGGTAATCACTCTACCACGGAAGAGCTTCTTCAGCCCCAAGAAATCCCATAGATTGTTTTGTTTGCTTTGCTTTATTAGCAGTTAAAAATAACTAGGTCTCTATCTAAAACACAGAAATGCTGTTCCCCATTTCTCCATCTCCCTCACATAGACAATAGTTAAGATTTTGTTTAAAGAGCTTTAGTACACTTAATTTTGCTCTCTAATTTTAGGAAAACAAAACCTTGTATTTGAAATCTTAACACAATTAATTCTGATTTAATTGGAGGAGAAATTCAATGTCTGTTTTTCTATGCTTCCCTCTGCCAGTCATTTTGAAAATTGTCTCTGGATAATCAAACATTAACGTAATGAAAGATGTCACCTACCTGTGCTCAAACTTTAAGAAGTCTTTTGAATGACTTACTACTCAAAATTAAATTTATTAAACATGCCACATAACTCAGATGAAAATGCAGTATACTTTAAAATGGGGGACACCCTGTCATTATGCTTCATTATTTTGGTAGTCTCACTGTGTTTGTGGGGTGGAGAATTAAATATTATTGAACATACATTGTCCAGAAGTGTTTTTAACCCTTAAGTTTATTTCTGTCCTCTCCTGTTGTAGGATCACAAGCCACAGTTGTGCAGATGTACAGCTGATTTTTAGTCCTTACGAAAACCAGTAAAAGGACTCACAAATGAATCTTCAACTTATCTAGACTGTTAGAGGAAATATTAACTCAAAAATGGCATGATGACATGAAGACAAGCCGTTTCATAACATGAATTCAGCATATCCCTTGTCTTCAAGTTCATTGTATTCCCTGTCCTTCCACCTTGTAGCTACATTTTCCTATCTTGTCTATCCTGTCTAATGTGGGCTTTTTTGACCCACACAGAGCTTATCCATTGTTTCTTATACAGAGAATAACTGGAATTCTTTCTGTCCAGCTCACCGCCTACCCCACGGCAGCTCTCTGCCCCAACTCCAGTGGGGCTGGCCACACCAGTCAGGAAAACAGGTGAGTGACCTACCTGCCTGCTGATCTACCCCACTCCCTAAATCTGATTCCCAAAGACCCACTCCACTGCCCCCCTCCTCACCACCTTCCCCACTACTGACCCTCCGTCCCCAACCCCGGTGCATTTCACTTGCTCAGCTGCAGACCATATCAGTCAGAAGAACAGGTGAGTGACCCTCCTGCTTGCTGAACTGCCCCACTCCCTAATTCAGTAACCAAAGACCCACTCCACTGCTCCCCATCCTGCCTCAAAATCTTGCCCTCCTGTTGCTTTGCCTCTGACTCCAACTCAGGCAGTCTTACGCTGCTCAGGAGAAAGCCACACCAGTCAGAAGAATAGGCACAGGCCAGAACAGTATGAAAAAAAGATGCAGGCCTAGCAAGCTAGAAAAACAGGTAGGCGAACTCAGACAGAGACTTAAAGCTAGACCAGAGACCACACCTGCCACCAGAACCAGAGAGAGACAGCTGACCAGTGAATCTCCTCTACTCCCTCAGTGCCCCTAATCCCAACTCCCTTCCTCATCACATTATCCCACCCCTCAGAGATCCCTGCTGCATCAAAGGCCAACCCAGCTACCAGATGTCCAACCCCCAACTTGGACAGAGACTCGCTGCTGGATCAGAGGTCAAAGGAGTCACCACCAGAAATCCAGGCCACAAAGACCAGAAGACCAAAGAAGAAACAGAAACCAAGTAACAAAACACCCATTCAATAAAGATAAACTCATAAATCAACACCTAGAGCTATAGTAATAAAAACTGCATGGTATTGACATAAAAACACACATGTTGCTCAATAGGAGGACAGTTATGGGGACAAAATGGAAAGCTAGTGCAATGTAAACTCCATGTAATTAATGAAAGGACCTTAGCAAAAACTTCTAGTAATGGAGGACACAGAGCAAGAACTGACCATCTTCTGTAGCCAGTCAAGGCCTCAAATAGAGGGATTGGGAAACCAACCCAGCCACAAAACCGTGAACCTACATTGTGTCCTGCCTGCAGAGTATTCTGAGACCAGATTCTAGCAGAATCAAAGAGACTAGAGACTTCTTTCAGCAACTGATGGGAGTAGATGCAGAATCCCAAGTCAAACATCAGTTGGAGCTTTGGGAGTCCGGTGGAGGAGGAGAAGAAATCTTCTCCTCCTGATCTGAGAAACCAGCGTGTTCAGGGACACCATGAGAACAAGGCTCAGAGCATCAACTGACCAGGACTCATGTGAGCATGCAGAGATCAGGGAGCCTTTATGGGTCTGATCTAGATCCTACGCATATGTTATGGTTCAGTAGCTTGGCATTTTTGTGCAGTTCTGAACAGTGGGAACAGGGCAGGGTGTCTCTGACTCTCTTACCTGCTTGTGGGACACTTTCACTCCTATTGGGTTGCTTTGTTGAGGCTTGATGTGATGGAATGCGCCTGGTCTTATTGTAACATATTACACCATGTTTGGTTGATGTCCCTGGGAGGTCTGCTCTTACTTACGGGGAATCAGGAGTGGGGATGGGTCTAGAAAAGAAGGGATGGGGAGCAGGAAATTGCAGTCGAGATATAATATATGATAAAAGAACTAAAAAAAAATCTTTATTGCCATTTAGTAAATTGAGGAGAAGCTCTTTACAAAGATCACATTTCCAAAATGCATTATATGTATGTGTGAAAACATCGTAATGAAACTCACTATTGTGTAATTAATATATGCTATGAAAAAGAAAAATTATTCCAGTAACAAAAAGCAAAAAGATCACATTTATTTTCTTTGCTATTCTATAAAATAGATGGAAATAGTAATATTTATTATACATTCAGAAATCTTTGACTCATGCTATACTGTCAGCTCCACTAATCCCTAGATATTCTTAGTGAATATCTGGTCGCATATCAATGGCAAGGAACATCTCTGACTCCTCCTTTATCACTGTTCCTATCTTCTCATGGCACTTTAAAAGGTTTTTTTGAAAGGAGTTTCATTTTATTATTTACCTGAAATACGGTAACATGTTTCATTTCTCTGATTTTACTTGAGCTCAATCACATTAACATGCTTTTTTTGGTAAGCAATAATAGTCTCATGAATTGGAGATTTTTATATAAACACACATACTTCTTAAAGGAATAGCAAACTTGAATTTATTTGATAATAAGAAAAGAAAGGAATGGAGTTTTCATCTCTAACAATTGTATATATTGGAACCAACACTAGGATCCTCTGGATGAAAGTCCAGACTTGAAGGCGGGCAGATTAGCTACTGTTTCAACCTATAGACGCAGGTAGAGTAGACATGGCCTCAGCCAATGGATGTCCCTGAACAGTCTAAGTATATTCTTCTGTGGTTATTAAAATAAATCACATCCATAATGCAGAGTTTTCTCGGGCTTTCAAAAAACATGGCATTGTGCATCTGAGGAGCCATGAGATGGGGTATAAGATTTGTGTGTGGAACCACGGATTCAGAAGCAATAGAAAAGTTTATGAAAAGACCGTGTAGGCATCCCATGACTCCATTGCCTACTGAATTGTCTTTGTAAAAGCTTTGCCACGAAGATTTCTTTAGTTCTTTTTTACTTAAAGTGGAGCATATCTAGACCCGCGAAGTTACTTGAGACATAAAGTATTTTTCTTAGACTCACATAGAAAGAGGTAGCTATCATTTTCCTGTTATTATATTACCTAGCCAGGAGTCTAGCATTGTGCATGTGAAGAGTGAGGGGATCCTAATTTTAGTTGATGTCCACTGTCATAGCTGCACACATAGCTCCACCTCGCCTTCTGAAGGAAAGACTTCCACTCCCTACATGGGTGAGCGTGTCCTTCCTTCTGCTGTTTTACTTCTCTGTGTTACAGTTACTCTATCAGCATGGATTGTCTTATAAGTAGTAGTGCATTGTGGGTACAGTAGTCATATTGCGTTTACATTTTAAACAAAGGTCAAGTTCAGTAGTCAAGGGAGAAGTGCACACTATGACATAAAAGAAATTCCAACTCTATTTCTGTCACTTCTTATTAATTTGACCAAGGACAATTTCTAACCCATAGCTTTATTACTTGATAAATGTGGAAAACCACAGTATCTAATTCAAAGGTCTGTGGCAATGACTAAATTGTATAGTATACAGATTTGTCTCAGTGGTAAGTATATACTGAGTCTTTGTCAGATATCACTATTATTACTAAATGTCTCAGAATTAAAACCTATATCTCTGGCATTTTGCATATTCCTATGCCGAATCTCTTATGGTACTTAAAACTGAGTAAGTTCTCAGTAGACATAGTGGACTAAAGACCTAAAGATATTTTAATTATCGTGGTTAATTTTAGCAGTATTTTATTGACAATATGGTCCTTGTGACTATAGAATTTGTGTTAGAATAATCATTAGACCAAAACAAATCATGACTCTCTAAATCTTCATGTATTTATCTAAAATATATATTTACAATAAAAGGGTAAGCTCCCTGTGTGCTTAAAGAGTTAGTAAGAGAAATCAATTTCAGGTTTTCCAGAGATTTTTTTAAAAAATTACATCAATGATAGGGTCATGAAATAGTAAATTCTGGCCAAAGAGTTTCTAGAATCTGGGGTGAGAAAATATAGACAATGTCAAGTGCTTGGTGTTTGTATCTTGGTACATTTTCAGTGAACATATTCCATGTAATGGGTAATTTTCTGGGCCCTGGAACACATGTTCTTCCTTCACTCACAGAATAAATGTCAACACGTGACTCTCCCTAGGGAAAGGGGCACGAAATGTTGCAGCATCTCTTAGTTTAGCCCCAAAATATTTATATTTATATTTAGTTCTAAATATAAACAAGACATGATGAAGCAATTATTCTGATACCATCAGGAGCCAATGGAAAGTCCTACGCCACTGAGCTGTGTTGAAACGTTGCATCCTCTTGTCTCCATCCATTAATTTCTTTCATATGGAAGGAGAAAATTTTATTTCAGATAGTCATCTGGGTTTGGAAGAAGTCTCTAGAAATGAGGAGCCAGGAGGGAGAATCTGAGAACAGACTTCCCACAGCACACTTCCTGCTCAGACCTGTTCCAGAGAGACTGAAAATGTTAAAAGAACAGGTTTCTTATTATACTCCTTTCAGCCGCCTGGACTGAAATCAGCTGGCTAGAGACCATTAGTGAGGCACCAAGCCTTTTCAAACCTGCAGTATAAAGGAGAGTTCACTGAAAGCTTTTCAAAAACACTCTATGTGTAAGTATGCTTCTGATAACATTTCGTGCATATTTCAGATGCTTTCTTAATTCATAGGCCCCGAAAATAGGAGAAAGTCACGTCAAATGTCAAGTTCTAACACCTGTGACAAATAAAAAAGCTTAACAAATGCTTCCCCGGACCTGCTGATGGAAAACACTTAGCCTGTGGCTGAAATTAAAGCAAGATTTTAGAAGCGAAATGACTCAAGAAAATCCACTCTACCCAACCCAGATGATCCTGTGGAGGCAGACAAGATGCAGGAGTGAAAGACAAGTCAAACCTTGCTGTGTGTTTCTCTTAGAGCTTCCACAGACTTTTAATGGAGAATTATGTTTCAAAAATATAAAAAAATTAAGAAAATATATTTAATCTATTCAAAGTAAGGGAAATACGTCAATACTCAGGTTCAAAAACATACCAATAACTCCACAGATTTCAGAAACCATGCTAACTTTCCTACAGCATCCCAAACCAGGACAGGTCCTTAGGAAGCATCCATAAATCATTAGAAATTGGTATCCATATTCCTACGAAATGCATTTGTACTTTCAATTTCTTGCATCCATGATGTTCTTTAGGCATCCCATACATGGCTTATGCTATCATTTCACTCAGATCTTAACCTAAAACCCTGTCTTTGACATGGGGCTGACTCACAGCTCTGGACTTCCTTGATCAAAAGCCTCATTGCTATGCCATGCCTTCTTCACAGAAAACCTGTGTGCACACATATTAACCCTACCCACTCACCATTGCTCACACTTTCCAAACAGCATCCTTTTAAACTCTCAAGGCCAATTTTGTATCTATCTTTCTACTCAACTCTGAAAAGATACAAGAGAAACCATGATTGAGATGAAAATAAAATAACACTCTGACTTACCACAAAAATAGTTTCTGCCAGGACTCTAGGAAAATCTTGCGAATGAGATGGAGGTGTGAATCTCTGCTGAAGAAAACCTTTGATATTCATAAACTTCATTTTTTGCACATACCGTAAAGGTTTACGGCCTGGGACAATGTCCAGGTAACTTTGATATGGACAAGTGTAATAATAGGACATCATACAAGTGATAACACTGAGATAAACAATAATCAAGAAAGAGTTGTACCCTTTGCAAAGTGTGTTGAAAAGGCATTTCACATCTGTTGTCTTCTCCTAAACATATATAATTGCAGTCTAATCATAAGACATCAAGACAGATCATAAATGTAGGACTCTCAGCAAACTGTTCAATCAGTACACCTCAAAGCTGTCAGTCATTAAAAACAAGAAAACCTAAAAAACTGTCACAGCCAAGAAAAATCTGCAGAGACGTGACAACTGAGTGCAATCTGCTTTCAAGTATTAGACTCTGAAATGGAAAAATAACTGAGAGAAACACCAATGGAGTCTGAATAAGGTGTAGACATCAGTTAGTAACACTGTATCAGCATTGACTTCTTCCCTGAGACAGATTCCATAGGAATGTTAGAGGCTCACAATGTAAAAAACTGCATGAAAGATGCAGAGGAATC